ACAAATATGAAGTACTGGCAGTGCTGCTCTGTTAAATGGTTACAAAAATCTGATCAAAGCAGGCAGAATAAAATTATGGGGTGAATGTATCTACAGTTAAGGCTGTAAAATGAGGTGTGGGTGAGTGTACATTTTGGAAGAAGACAGTTGTAATTATGGGTAGGAGTGATGGAAAATGTCTACTTCACTTACATCTGGCTGTGGAATGGCGTGCTGTCCTTGTACTGCATATGCCTGAAACAAATGGAAACAAAGCTTTCATCGTCTGCACAACGGATTTTATCACATAGGTTACTGCTCCAGCCTTATGTCAATATCTCTCTTCACTACTCCAGCTCACCAAAGCTGTTCTAAAACTTAAAAATAAGACATAATATTTAAGAATATCAACATGTATGTCTTGTCCAAAGTCTCCACACATCTGGGGAAAAGGCAAATCTTTACAGACATCCCAGTGGAAATAAAGAAAAACCAAAGGGAGAGTTTTCCCCATGGAATATAAAAACAGTATTTAGTAAGATAAAAGACTCAGTAATGTTAGGCCAACAAGCATCAGAAAACTTTTAGTTCAAACCAACAGTAGCAGAAAACCACACACTTCATTTTTGAAACCTAGAGTTCAAAACAATAAACACACACACCGGACAAATAGAAGGCTTTCTAGCAGAGTAAATGTTTTGTGAAACACTTTTCAAACAAAAGTCACTCTGGTTGCATCTCTTCTCAAAACTTAGGTTGAGTTCAGAATATTCTGTGCCTTTCAAGATTCCCAGTTATCTAATATTCTGCACAAACATGCTTCACAAACTCATAGAAATCCAAATGTCAGAATACTGCCGCAATAAAGACACCCCCAAATCATCATGGTAGGATTCTGTGTCCCTCTTAAGTTTTGTATATACCTGTCCGCCTGCAAAGATGACGGGGGATCCTGAAGGTTTGGGTCGGTAGGGGATAGTGACCCCCTTAGGGGGAGACTGTAAGGAGACAAAGCAAGTGTCATTACATTTTCCACCCATGTTATGTTAAATAACAGGAAATAATTCTATATGCTACATATTAATCATGTTTCAGTGGTTTTTACACTGAAAATTGCACAAAACATTTACAGTTATAGCAAAAAACATAGCAACATGAAAGTCTTTACTTTTGCCTTGTCCTCTGAGCCTCTGTCTAAATCGAATGTTTATTTTTTCCAACATAATTGTTTAACACTTATCCAAACATGCGTGGTGGAAAACAAGTTAAGCAATAACCGTACATTCACCACCTAACAGCTCTGATTAAGGAGCTTCAAAAACTACCTGTAATGAGGATCGTGCTTTAGTTCTGCTAAATATGTCCTTAATCCAAATGCAACAATCAGGAGCCAAAAGCCCAGAGATCACAGTATTTCACATCATTACTTCACAGGTCAACAGCTTCCACTTAATTTGCTTCATTGCTTTCATTGGTCCACTTACCTCAAGCATGACCACACAGATCTGCTTCACACACTCAATTATCGACTGGGGAGTGCCAGCGATGGTGATGGCCCGCTCCGTTGAGTTGGGGAGCATGTCTCCTGCCACTTGTACCTGAGCACCGGTTGACTGAAGTATACAAATGAAGGGAAATCAGGTAAGAATTAAATCCCCCTGTTGTTTATAATCAGTGTGTGATGTGCAAGATTACACAGGTGATGGTCTGTTAATGCTGAGGGGAATGGAGCTCAATGTGTTTTTGTTTTATATGATGTGCGGTTCTCTTCGGCATACCTCTCGAATTTCCTTGATTTTGCAGCCACCTTTTCCGATGAGGGAGCCGCACTGGCTCGCAGGCACCACAATACGTAGGGTCACTGGGGGCTTGCTGGTGGCTGTGCTGTTTGTCATTGAGCTGCTTATGTCCTGGCAAAATTGTGGAGATGCGGGTTAATCAGGTTTCCCGTTGAACTGTGGATTTATTTGTCAGTATAAATTGTAACCTACCTCTTCCAGCTTTTCAATGATCATGGAAAATGCTTTAAAGATGGCTGTGGTTGGACCTGCCAATGTAATGATCCTCTCGGGACAATTTCCCTCAGAGATATTGATGCGAGCCCCACTCTACACACAAAAAGAAAAGCAAGGAATTGAAAGAATTGATTAAAACTATACATCTGCCAACTGTGTTTGTTATAACATTACAATTCATCGTGATGTAGCATAGCTATAGTACAGACAAGGAAGATAAGACCTCACCTCTTCTCTCATCTTCTTCACAGATTCACCTTTCTATTAACAGAAACACAAAAGTCAGATTAATCTCCCACAGATCTTCAAATGATAGAAAATCTATATTTCAATGATATCAAGCATCATCTTACCTTTCCAATAATACTTCCAACTTCCTAAAAAAGATATAAGAGAGACCATTCTTATTAATCTTCATTTCACATCTGATTTCTCTACCACAGAGCTGGGACACATTTTATCTTATTTGCTAAGGTGGACCCAGTATCTATAGAACTATCAGAAAAAAGTGGGGCTGTAAGTGTGCATTCTTTAGAAAATGCTCCGCTGATGAAAACAGGTGTATTATGACACTTATTACAGATTGTGTAGTCGATTCTTCAAAGTTGAGGGCAATGCCTGAAGATAATTCTTCATCATGAGTTCCCAAGATCTCCACCACGGATACTTTGTGTGTCTCTCTGATCCCACACAATCTTAAAACGACACTGTGAGAGTCCGGAAGCTGCCAAGAGTGAACAGTATCCATCTGTAGGCTGCTAATGCAAAGCCATGAGCTGGGACTTGTTTTAGATGGTATGGGTTAGCACAGCAAGCTCACAGCTTGGTTTCATGACCGCATGAGCTAGTCAGGTTTTCAGCCAAAACCCAATTCAGCTTTGCTTTGAGACATGGGATCCCATCACCACGTCAATACCCTGACTCATCACATCATGTCCCTGCCCTTTTACATCCCCAAAGGATTTAATTTCCATGAATATAATATCGTAGGCTATTACAGTGCAGACACAAGCAGCTGATATGTGACCTCACCTTGCCGTGCATGAGCAGCCTAATGGTTAGGGTGACATTGAGCCCTCCTTCAATCACACCGGAGTCCATAACTGCAACTGCAACCTGTCCGTCCGTTTGAAACTGGGTTGTTGGTTACCGAGATGGATCTGAAGGGCCAGACAGACATAGCAGACAAGATATTACACACCAAGGGTGATCATGTGACATTAATATCAACACTGACTGCTAATAATAAATATAATAAAGGGGTTACCAGTGACGGTCTGTATCTGAAGAATAAAGTTACAGAAGCATTCACACCCATGATGAGTCCATTAGTACATCCTACCACAACATGATTTTCTGACAGTTAGGTTTTCATAAATCTTAACACAGACATAACGTTAGATATAAAAGTAATTCCTTCACAAAGCATTTGAAAGCTGCTTATTCATTTCATTCACACCAGCCCAGGTCACATCTTCAAGCCTAAAGTGCAAAGTTAAAGGAGAAATATAAAAAGGGTCTGTGATACGTGTTTGTCTCATAAGACAAATCTCCCCTGGGGGAGTAAATATAAACCTATTGTAGAGGAATATAGTAGATGTGTGTCACAGACCAAGCTAGCGATAATGCAACCGAGAACTGACGCGTGCTAAGACGAAACATGCTAAAATGGCTGGGGGCTCACTTTCATCGTGACAACTACATGCTGCTGTTTTACGATCAAACATCTGAATGAAACTTCTCCGACACCAAACACGCAAATTAGCGCCTGGTCCGCCTCAGTGCGAGCGGAGAAACATATGGTCGGTGAGCTAACGACGCCTCATTTGTTAGCTAAGAATCAAGTTTATCAACAAACATGCGCACAATTACCTCCTCGTTACCACACTTCAAGGTGAATTTGGTTTCGCACAACCTCGGGTCACTTGACTACGATGAGAAAACAACACTAAACTGCCGCGTGCGCTCGTGTTTCCCGGTTTAAAGTGAGTCCATTTAACTATTAAACGCTTGGAGTAAGTGTGTTAGCCGCTTAGCATCCCTGCTCGCTTGCCGTGCTGGGGGAAATGAATGGAGCATGCGTGCGCTACTTAGCACAGCTAGCTAACTTCGGCTAATTACTAAACGTGATTATTAGCCCTTTAAACACACGCGCCCTCGGTGGAATGGTTGTAACGTCTTGTTTTCACGCAGGACAGATGTTTAAGAACAGGAAGTGGGATTCAGAGGCGACATTACAGCCAAACTTCCCCCCGCGTTGAGACTGCGTGCTCACCGCCGCGCGGCCTTGTTAGCACGCTAGGGACGTGCAGCCGCTGTTAGCCGCTGGGCGCGATTCCTTCTTTCCGCCACTTCGGAGCACAACAACAAATCCATTTTAAAACAAACACACACACGATGCAAACAAAAAACCCAAACTCACCTGAGTGCTGCGGATGACTGAGAGACCCGGGGGGAGGGTTGGGGTTGTAAGGGTAGAAGGGGAGAGGTTCGGGAGGGTAGAAACCCGGGGGAGAGTTTAGAGAGGACTCGGGGAAGAGGGAAGAGTGATGTGAGATCGAGCTCCGCTCCTTCACACAAAGACAACAAGAATCATCACCCCTGAACTTTCCCCTTTCACCCACACCCCCCCTCCCCTCGTCCATCCGCCCCGTCCAGCCCCGGCTACGACCCGACGACCCTCCTGAAAACACGGCACTTATATATTTTTTTAAAGTTACAGCAGCTTCAAAACGTTAAATACGAGAATAGTCTTTAAAACGCGATGTTACATTGCGTTGGAAACGTCACAGATGTGAGTTTAAACAGCGACGATCTGCAGCACGGAAGATAAACTACATGTGTATAATCGATTCTGATCAGATTCAGACATTAATAATCAAACAGACGTTTTACAAGAGTTTAACATGTTCCTAATTACAAACTTCAATAAAATACTGTAGGGCCACTAGTGGACGCGAAGTGTACTGCAACCCGTGCACCGATCAGGAGGACACATCACACCTCTCACTTCCATCTGTTTATTTGGCAGAATTATATTAAGGCTCTTTATGTGTGGTTACAATCTCAATACAATGTTGTTTTTTTCTACTGTCATGCACAGTTATAGAAAAGAAAAGTTATCAAGAACAAAATCAGGCAGAGGTAGATAAAGACAATCATTATCTGTATCACCTTTAGGTTAATCTTCCAGAGGAAATCCTTTTTTTTAACTTAATCGTAGCGTTACATTTTCTCCAAGAACCCACATTAAAACTGTAAATTAAGAAAGACCTGTGCACATTGATATATATGTGAGGATTCTCAGTTATCCAGGTCATGTTATCCTCAGTAGTTTCATTAGTGTCCATTAGTGACTGAACTTCTTTAAGAGAAATTGCAGGTTAAAGTTTTTAGATACTTCATACTCAGCTTTGTTTGAAAATTAGCATTCAAAAAGTTGATTCAGAATTTTTTCATTTTTATAAGACTTGAGTGGAAATATTCAGAGAAAACAGTGACAGATTTCAGCATTGCACCTAGAAATGCTTAACCCTAACCCTTCCTCATTCTTTGAATCTAGTTGCCTATGTACACTTGTGCAACTCCTGAATGTGTGCATAATGATGCAATCTCTCATCCAAATATTTCAATATGTTTTCAAAGTAGTCTTTAAGTATGTTTACTGTAACTACAGAATGTTTGACATGAACACCACAAAAAAAGGGTTAGGATTAGATTCATGACAAAATGGAACATCAATACAGACAGATGCTGTGAAGCTTTTCACACATACATATAAATAGCCCATACTAGATATGATGAAATAATAAATACACAGTGCACAGAAATCCTGTTAAAGGTGATAAGAATGACGTGTGTGTGCATATGGTTAGGTGTTAGGCCATCCGTTTGTGAAGCAGCATTTCTGCGGAAGATGTTTCTTGAACTGTCGGCCTCAGTCGCTGCTGCTGCTGCTACTGCTGCTGCTGCTGCTGCTGGAGGACTGTAGAGAAAAAGAGAAAAAATACATTTAAAGCTGCAATTTACAAAATTATCTATAAAATTAAAATCATTAAAAATGATGTATTATTAGTTCTGCTATTGGTGGCTGTTGCTCAGAAGATAGTGAGGATTGTCCACTAACTAGGCATTTGGTGGTTGGCTTGGCTGCACTTAAGCATTTACCACAGGTTACACTTGTGGTGAGCTGATTGCTGTATAATCAAAACCATCAATGCAAGACTCTCCCCTTTGGTATATAGCTATAGTTTGACAAAGTATCATTCAACCAGTTTTTATGTAGGCTTCTTTCTTGGTGTGAAGTAAATGGTTTATAGTATACCATTTACAAGCTGACAGAGTAACTGATTAACCGGAAAATGAAACCGCTGCTGAGTGTTAAAATCCACTAAGATCTATCCAAGATAATCAAACCAGACTGACAAAAGCAAGAGCCACATCATGTTTCCAATAAATTATATACCTGGATTACCCGGCCTATTGCTGCTAATCTGAGGCGTTTCCCCTGTGAACCTCTAACTGTATGTTTGACATGATAATTTAATTTAGTTTCATGGTGCCTTTACTTTCTCCATTTCATTCTATAAATGTTTACTCAAAGCAGAGCTGTCTAAGTAGAGCTGAAACCATTGATCGATTAATGACAGACAGAAAATTATCCAAGAGACAACAAATCAATAAACATCTGAACTCCTTTTTCCAGGAAAACTTGCAAAAAAACCTTGCTGTTTAAACCTCTGAAGTGCAAAGATTTTTACTTGTGATGGGTAATTGTTATTATTTTCCATGTAGTTCTATACTATACTATAATTACTTTCTTGGATAATTGACGTCGAAATAATTCTTTACTTTATTTACAGCGCTTGTATATGTGGTGTTTTTCTATCACACATCCCCTTCACACATTGCAGGCGCAGCCGTCAAGGACACTTCAGCATGCAGACTGGAGGTACCAGGGATTGACTACCGACCTTCTGATATATGGACGACCCCCTGTATCTCCTGAGCACAGCCACACCCTTTCAGTTGCATATAAACCGAGGGGAGTAGTCAGGTTCAACTTTCATCTTTTTATCTAGTATCGGTGTTAATGCTTCACCTGCAGGTGGGGCCATTTTAAACCTTTAAACCCAGTCTCACCTTGCCGTGTTTGTGGTGTCCATGCTTGTCCCCTTTATGTGCTTTCTTCATCTTCTTCATCTTTTTGTGGGACTTGTGTCCAGCCATCCCCATCCCCATTCCCATTCCCATTCCAGCCACTCCTCCACCGAAAGCTCCAGCCATAGGATTCATCCCTCCATGATGATCTTTGTGATGGCCTTTGTGGCCTTTATCATGGCCTTTGTGGTGGCCTTTGTCATGGCCTTTGTGGTGGCCCCCTTTAGGAGAGTGTGGGTATGGACCTGGGTGACAACCTGCAGGAGGAACCCCTGGATATCCACCTGGAGCCATAGGATAAGGTCCTGGGGCTCCATAAGGCATCGCCCCTGGGGGTGCATGTGGTACCAGACCAGGGTTTGTACCAGCTGGGTATTGGTATGGTGGGTATGCTGCGTTTGGAGGCTGAGGGAAGACTCCTGCAGAGGGTCCAGCAGGATATGCAGGGTTGTAGCCAGGAGGGTAGGCAGGATTTGGTGGGCCTATTGGAGGGTTAGGTCCTGATACACATAAAAGCACACACACAATTTATTTTTTACTGAAGACCTGCCTTATAAAACAGATATAAAAACCAATAATAAACCATTACAATTATATGCTGGTTATGTGAGATTTCCTACCTTGATTTGGCCACATGGTTATATTATTTTTGACCTGACAGGTCAAACACTTCAGAAGGAAACCTGGAGAAACATTAAGAAATACAATTTAATTAACTACATTACAAATAATCAGAATTTGAGCATCTGTTCTGGTTTTCATGCATTTTCATATGCATTTACCTGTGAGTTTTTACCACGCTACAGTAGTAGGCTACAATCTGTTACCTGTGTTTGGTCTAAAACTACAAATATATCTTATTCGTACTACTCTATCTTAAACACTGGAAAAGTGTGAAATATCTCTTAAGGTGAAACCAGACTGTATCTTACCATATAATTTACTTTCTCGACTGTGATTTAATCCAGATCCAGTCACATATTTTTTTTCTCCAAACAAAGAAGTCCTGTGGTAATTTATATCAGATGATAACTTTACTACAAAACAAATACACAGTGTACACACTCTATCTAACATACAAATACAAACTGATTAATCACTGATTAATTTCAGGTAATTCATGTCCCTTATCAGTTAACCACCAGAAAGTACATGAAGTAGTTAAGATGTTTTTGTTTCACTATTTGTAATATTAAATGATATTTACACAATAATGTATCAGCCATAAAAACCCAAATAACATCATAATAGTATTATTTTATTCAATAATGAGAACATTTTTATTTTTGATCATTTAACATGTATTTTGCTAACAATACATGTACTTAGAAATAGTTAGATTGACTTTTACTTCTGTATTTTTACAGTAAAAGATCTGAATGCTTCTTCCACCACTGGATAAAGGAAACATGTATTGCACTGTATTATCTTTAGCGAGGTGCATCTGTTAATCAACCAAGTGCAGGTCTAACGTAGGTTACAAACTTAGTTTTTAAAACTTTATTACCAATCCAACAAAAAACTCGAATCACAAAATAAACTTCTTGCTCAGATTAAGACATTTTATGACGTCATGACGTTAAACTGTGGTCTGTGTCAACAACAACCTGAAACACTTTCTGCCTTTAAATCTGTAATACAAGTATAATACGACAGAAATAACCAGGAGGTCTCTACGTCATGTGGCAGCTGCAGTTTCAGGTAGTTTTGTTATTGACTTGTAATCTGTATTTGTCGACGTGTAGATTCAGTCTTACCTTAATTTTCTCTCCTCGGGTGTTTAAGATTGTCAGCGTCTCACTTCCGCATTTAACTGGGCGAGGATGCAGTAAACCACGCCCAGTCCGTGTACGTCCAGGAAGTTCAAAGTGCGTGAACGTGTTTTTTTTTTTGAAGTGCGTGGACGTGCACGGGCTTTAGTGTATCATCAACTTCAGGGACCCACGCCCCAGGCTGCTCTCATTATTTCCATCATGACAACAGTCCTGATCTACTGGTTTCTATAGGACAATGGTGAACACATATAATCAGTGTTAAGCAGAGAACACACACGCACACACACACACACACTTTCCATTGCCTTCCATTCATTGTGGTTAACACACCCAAAACCTTATTTATCACCTCAACTGTTATCAGTTCATACCCAACCCCAACCTCAACCCAACCACAATTCACGTCTTACCATTAACTTTAACCTTAGAATGGATTGATTAGGACTCAGCCTTGGTCCCTGTGAGGTTTACTGGTCCCGACAAGATCAGTGTTACTGCTGTTTTGTCACAAAAACGAGTACACACACATACAAAACCATCCATTACATCATAGATGAACCGTTTCATAAACACTTACCACACATTGTTTCCTATTGCTTCAATAGTTTCACCTTGTTTCAACAAAAAAACGACACATTAGCCATTAATAACTCCAAACTCAAGTTTATTTAGGTTCAGCTACATAATCCAACCAATCATTGTGCAACATATAAATATAAATAACAATACAAGCATTTAGACAAGTCATGACAAGGAAAAACATGCAGCAATCCATAATAATGACGACAGCATTCGATGTAGGCACTTTGACTTGTAACAGTCTCACAGACATAGCTGTTTCTATGAAGATGGTAAAAGTTGTTGCTCAATGTTGCTTTAACAACTTTGATGTGTCCCAGTATAAGTCAATGACACTGTGATGTGAGCCAGCAAGACAAATACCAGGAACCTGAAATTAAAAGTAGTATCATGGAATTTAACCTCATTACTTACTTTCTTACTGTGACATGAAGAAAAGGATCACGGTGCACAAAGTACTGGCCTGGTTTACACATTGTTTTCTATTGTTTTTATTGTTTCATCTTAACAAAATAACATAGTTGCAGCCAAGAATAACTCAAAACCTGGTTTAGTTTCAGCTACGTAACCAAACCAACTAGTGTAACAGATTTCATGCAAATGTAACAGTGAAGATTAACAGTTTTAGCTCCATGTGTCGCTTTTCTGCTGTGAAACATCAAAAAGTCTTTGGTGAAAATTCAGAAAAAACCGTTATCATCTGCACCTCTTTGTTGATCTTAATGAGAAAATTAAAGATTTTGTTTTCAATATTGAAAGACGTGTCCATAGCTGCAATCCCTCCTCAGAATATTTCAGTATGTTTGCATAGCAGCAAGTACTTTTACTTAAAGAAACTGTAACAACAGAATGTTTGACATAGAACACAACAAAAATACGTGTGTTATAAAAAGCCCATACTAGACATGACAAAAAGTAATTCCCATAAATCAGAATAAGAAATAAGAAATTATAAGGCCGTCAGAATTTCTGTGGAGGCTGTGTCTCGAAATGTTGACCTCAGTCTGAGTCGCTGCTGCTGCTGCTGCTGCTGCTGCTGCTGGAGGACTGTGGAGAAAAAGAGAAAATTATACTTTTTTAACTTAATTCACATCACCTACGTAACTGTCACTGATCAGGCTCAACTACATTCAACTCAAACAGGGATTCCATCTCTGTTGTTCAGAAAATTAGTAAAATGCATCCACCTTATTAACCCGCTACCCCTCCTCCTACTGAACGAGAGAGTGCAGGGGCAGAGGGCTTATTTAGTTGAATTTGCAAGTCTAGTCTGCCTGACTCACTGATTATTTATTTGAAATAGATTTGTGCCTGTTAGAATCCATGTTCTCCACCATCAATCTAAAATAGATGTCTTGATAAATCTGTACTGTGTTCCCTTGCAGAAAGATTTGTAACTATGCCTTTTCCTCTCAGTTTTGTCCTCCTACTGTTTTGTCTTGGATGTTTAGTGTTCACCAAAATGCCAACTATACAATACTGTATTTTGCCTTTATACCCAATAAAGTATGATTACCTTACTGATCAAAATAATAAGCAGCAATGTGTAGTCACAGAAGGGCAAGAGGATCATACACTGCTGATTGTTGTATTCCTTAATAATAATAATACAATGTTATATTTCCTCTTGCTTATAATGTTTGGTGAAATTAAGGTTTAAGCTTTTGTGCACCTGCAAGAGGAGTCATTTTAAACCTCTAAACTAAACAGAGTCTCACCTTGCTGTAGAGTCCATGCTTGTGCCACTTATGTGCTTTCTTCATCTTCTTCCTCATCTTTTTGTTGGCTTTGTGTCCAACTGCCCCCACTACCATTGCTGTCAATCCTCCAGCTAATGCTCCAGTCATGTGATTCCTCCCTCCATGATGATAGCCATGGGGGTAGCCATGGTGGTAGCCTTTGTGGTAGCCTTTGTGGGGTCCCCATTTTGGGGAGTGTGGGTATGGACCTGGGTAAACACCTCCAGGAGGGACCACGGGATATCCACCTGGAGCCATAGGATAAGAATGAGTTCCTGGAGTTCCATAAGCATGAGATCCTGGAGGTCCATAAGGATGAGGACCTAGAGGTGCGTTTGGTACTACAGCTCGGCCCATAACAGCTGGATTCATAACACCTGGGCTCATAACAGCTGGGTACTGGTATGGTGGGTACGCAGGGTTTGGAGGCTGAGGGAAGACTCCTGGAGGAGGTCCGGCAGGATACGAAGGGTTGTAACCAGGAGGGAAGGCAGGATTTGATGAGCACATTGGAGGGGGAGGTCCTGGTTCACATAAAAGCACACACACAATTTATTCTTCAAAACATCTATTTTGTAAAATTGGTATAAAGCAAAGTATAACATAGTGTATGCTGCTTATGTGAGTAATCCTACCTTGATTTGGCCACATGGTTATGTTTTTTCTTCAGGAAACCTGGAAAACAATTAAATGTAGTGAATATTTAGTAAAATCAATCAGTATAGCCCATATTCATGAATCACATGTTTCCCACATGTTGCTTCACAATCAGGATGAACAGAAGTGCAATAGATGTGTGTAGCAGAGCACATCAACACAAAAATAATATTTACAACATTCACAGGAAAAGACTGTCTGACATATATGGAGAGGTGTTTGAATGTATGGATCAAATTAAATCACAAACTTTTGATACTTAAACTATATTCGTCAATATTGTAACTTAGTAAGAGTTCAAGTAAGTGTCCGTTGTGACAGGCTATTTTTAATTTAAGTAAAAGTTCTGAATGCTTGTTCTTTTGATAGATACAGGAAATGTTATTTACAGCTTTAGGATTCAACGGTCAACCATAGGTCTGCTACAGGTAAGAAAAAATTACAATTTATAAAACTTTAAAGCAACTAACAAATAACCCAAATCACAAAATATACTTCCTGCTCAAACTATTGACAGGCCATGACGTCACAACATCCAAAATGTCAACAACCACCAGTCTGTACCTGTGAACACTTCTGACATCTGGAGTTTTAGGTTGTTTTGTTCTGCACACGTTACGTATAATTAGAATTCCCTTCAACATCTGGATTCAGTGTCTCACCTCAGGAACTCTCCTCTGGTCTGTGCGAGTTTGTTCAGGAACTCAGCTTCGTCCGAATGTGACTTCTGACACTTCCGCATTTAACTGCGAGAGGATATAGTAGGAAGCCACGCCCACTATTGATGGCTACGTAATGGCAACATTCCTGTATCATCTAGTTTCAATGACACGCGCGCACACACACGCACACACACACCTGAATACAAATCATTGTTAACCCCTGTGAGTCACACATGTTTCCATTCCAGTATGAACCAACACTTAGTCCTATGACATATTATTTTCTGTTGCCTTAATATGTTGCCTGGGATAACTCAGCTTTTAGTTTAAGGTTTCTTAATTGGGAAAACGGAAAACGGATGGAAAGCAAATCTAACAAAGACCATACTTATCAGTGTTCTGCTGTGGCAAGTCAAATTGTCTTCTGTTAAAAGGGTCTAGTTACCTTAAGTTTAACTATATGATTTTTATCATAATTATTCAAATGTGTAAAATACAATAATCTATCACAGTTAGATAATAATAATAATAATAATAATAATGATAATAATAATAAACTTTATTCGTGTAGCACCTTTCAAAACACAACAACTTCAAGGTACGTTTCAAGTTAAAATAAAAAATTGAAGGCAAACAATAAGAAACTGTTTAAAAAAACCAATGAGAAACAATTAAAAACTATTCGAAGATCATACAGCATTACATACAGAAATAAAAACATGTTACAGATGAGGAAATAGTAATATGATAAAATGATTAAAATAGATTACAAGATGGGAACTAGGTGAGAGTACAAATGTAAAAATTTAAAACAGAACAAGGAAGTGATAATATAAGGCACAGAATACCAAGCTACATGCTGAGGTTATGGAAACACATTTCATTTTCTCCCATAAGTGATGTTTCTTTCTCAATAATCACAACAATATGGATATTTTTTTTATAATGTACCTGGATTAAGATGTAGTAATGTTCAAGTTAATGGGTTTTACCTGTAGAATTCTACCTGATTAAAACCTCTGCAAAGAGAACAGTGCAACAGCAAGTCCGAGTCATGAGCTGCTTTCAGAGACATAAGACTGGAGAGAGACTAATCTGTCCACGACACACTGAGCTGTCAGCCGAGCGTCCGGGTCAAAATCCCAACAGTCTGTCAGGAGCTCCTGCAGTGCAGATCCCTGAAAGTGTGAAGAAGTAAAGTCAATACATCCATAGAACCAGCTCACTGCAGAGCCAATATAACAACCCCACGTCTAAGTAAGAAGCTCCTGTACCTGTGGCAGCAGCTCCCAGTGTTCAGGAATGGAGGGTCTCTTGTCCAGGTTTAACACAAACATGATGAGGCTCCTCAGTGTTACATTGGCTCCCAGCTCAGATTCATACGGCAACAGATGTGGTGGAACAATACTGCCTGTAGATGGAGACATTTGTCTGTCAAGGATATAACAAATTGATGCACTTGGATTCTGCGGTTCCTTTGGAAGTGATAGTTATTATAAGTGATGTTCTTGAGCTTTACGAGAGACCTTAGTTAATGCCTGTGGAGGAAGCTTTGGGACCACCTTCACCTGGACCAGAGGATCCATCAGTGCAGGTGAGAGCTGTTAGCTGATTGATGCTCTGGTACAGAAGGCAGCAGCTGAGCTTCGTCAAGGAGACACACAAGGACTGAGACAGACACTGAGACACTGAACTAGCCTGTGCTAATTGATCCTCTGGTCCATGTGAAGGTGCTCTCCCAGCTACCTCCACAATGCACATACCACCTCTTTGAAAACACTGAATGTTGGGTAGAAATACTCTGTTACTGATGGGTTTCCAGGATTATTTGTGACTGACATGAAGTTTACCTTCAGATAAATCTGAGCAGCGCATCCAGATCTCCCACAGCAGCAGTCCCAAAGCATAGATGTCCGTCTGCATGAGACACCACCTTCTGCTCAGGTTTACAGAGCCCTCCAGGATCTCAGGGGCCATGTAGCGCAGTGTGCCCAACTGACGATAACCCTGAAAATGGACAAAAATGTGAGAATCCAGATTTCTTCTGTGAGCTGACAGTTCCCTTATTCCATATCATTATTATTATAATAGAAAGTTCTGGCCCCGACCTGTGTCGTTCTCATCTTGTGTGTGGTGTGGCTCCGCTGCCAGCTGTGATGTCCTGAACATGAACGCAGGATGGCGGAGCATCCAAAATCACACAGGGCACAGGTTCCATCTGCTTTCACAAGCACGTTGGAGCTGCTGAGGTCTCTGTGAGCCACAGGAGGTTTGTGCACGTCTGCGAGAGAAGAAACATATGTGTTGATTTAAATATACAGATTTAATTTGAAAATGTAACAGTAGTGGGTTTTACTGATACAGAAACAAACACTGGACATGAAAACCAATGTAACATACTGTATATTGTACTCGTCACTAGGTGCAATGGTCAGCACCCTTTTTATATTACACCCACGCTGTCTACGTAGGTTAATTCACAGACACGCACATTCGTTTCGAAGAAATATTCTGGCCAGTACCATATCTGCGAAGGTCAGAGTGGAGATAGGAAAGTCCCTGCGATAAGGACTGGCACAACTTCAGTGACAGCATCCAGCTGGTGGTGTGTTTACACAGAAAGGAATGAAGAGAACCCTGAAATCAAAGAGACGACAAAGGGACGTTCAGTTATTAATTCTGGACACTTTGGCCTCAGGTGAACAGCCAAGTTACAGTGTGAATGTAGACCAATCTGTGCATTTTATATATATTTATATGTCGTCAATCAACTTGAATGTTAAATGTGAAACAGACCAAATCTGAGCTACCTAGAAATAAATAACATTAATACTCATCAGGTTTTTTTAAATGTACTACTTGAAATGTATCTATTTTCTAAAAGGGAAATAAAATCACTTACATTAAATGTTTTTAAATGGTATTCAGATTTTAACACTAAGCATTCAAGGTTAAGTATTCATTTTGTATCAAAAGTCATAAAATGACCTTTCTCTGATTCATTACAATTAAACTGCTTTCTCTGTTCCCTTTTCCTTGAATAACTTTTGTTCTTTGGGAAAATGCACAGTTAATAATTTTTTCATTTATTTATAGTTGCCCCTCACATATTCAGCAAACTGCAGAACGATGTGCAAACTGCTATCATCCGCCTTCCTCCCAGTGCCCAGGAAGTGGAGAATCGCAGCATGCTTCATCAGTGGCAGCTCATACACCTCCTTCTCTGTGGAAAATGTTTGTCTCCAACCTGCAGGGAAAACTTTCACAGCCACCGTGGATCCTCTGTATTTCCCCTGCCAGACAGTAGCAAAATAGCCACGGCCCAGAATCTGAAAATGCCATGAAGAAATTGGTAAAAGAGAAAATATAGCACCTATACTGAGTATCCTAAGATATGAATCCACTCAGTAGATTTACCTGCTGTAGTTCAATGTCTGCTACATCAATCTCAGAGGTTTTTGCTGTTTGGCAGGAACACGACGGGGACACACAACAATCAACAGCTTGTAGTTTCCTCTCTAAAATAATGAAAGAAGTTATAGAAGTTATCGTAAAACTACGTAACAAGACGAGGATGTGATTGAAGAGTAACAAAGAAAGGACGCAGGTAAGAGGGAGTATCATAACAGAGATAAACCTCAAGGTCAGTCCAGCCAAGAGAATGAAACAATTCCATGGTCAAACAAGGACATCATGAGAACTGAATCTGAGCTTAAAAGATGTGGACAGAATGTTTTTACGTGCTTTACAAATACAGTTATGACTTTTTTATCATGTGATTGATCCTGTGACTAGAACTGGTCTTTAGACACCAAACTCATGTTCAAGTTAAAATAATGAAGGTGTTTGTTTCTATCGTACGTTTGTCTTTGAAGAGGTTTCTCCACTTGGCGGCAACGATCATGAGGACGAGGACGAGCGAAATACTAATCAGAATCAAAACAACCTTCATGACGTCATCTGGAAAGAAAACAAAAAGCATGAGTTAATATTTTCTGATGAATAACATCGATTGTAATTCAGTCAGTTTCCTAATTAAATGTTCAAATATGTAAGAGGAAATTATTTCTATTCATATTAAGTCAATATAGCTTGATAAAAATAATATGAATGGAAACACTGGATTAACTTTAGTTTAAAAAATTGTAGTATAATCGTCCCTATATCAGACTTTCAAAATAAAAGATTGGCCTGTTAGGAAATATATTATTTAATCAGAATAGTTTATCCTTACGTGGGTTGCAAGTGATAATATATGACTGATAGCAAATGTATTCTTGTCATACCTGCAAAATGAGAGTAGGTGAGTCGAGGCTGTTCTGAATGTGTCCAAGTTAAGTTGCTGTTGCAGAGGTCTGTGTTACACACACATTTAATGAGGCTACTGTTAAACCGTGTTTGTGTCTTGCAGGTTGCATCTGGGCAAGACTTTTCAGCCACGTCACAAGCTGCAACACAAAAATCAGGTACAGATATCACATGATTAAATGAAACAACCTATATTTAGTATGTGTTACATAATACACATAACAACCAATGACCAATATATGTAAAAAAATGTCGATGACTCTTTCTTTAATGGTACAACAATAATCCAGCATGTGGTCCAGTCCAGTTCAAAGACACTGGTCCAGTTCACCTCCTGAGTTTTAAGTCTTTAAGACTTCTTACCGAGAAGGTCGACCACCGGCTGGCCGTTAATAACCAGGAAGTATCCCACGCAGCAGTGGGTGTTCTCACAGTCCTGCACCGACCCACTCACATTACCAGCAGTCACGTATTTGTGATTTTGTTGAGTGTTATAAGCTTTGCTGTTCACATGGAAAACACACTGTCTCTTCTGCAGTGAAAACTGGCTGGAAATGCAAATGAAGATGAATTCTGGAAAGAGGAAGAAAGACAAACAGCTGCTGTATTTGTGGTTTAACATCTGGTTGTAATAGTATATAGTTTGTTATCTGGGTTTTGCAAAAATTCAAATTTATTTGGTGGTGGTTTTATAATCAAGAGAGTTTAGAGGAAACAATCATTATATTGTTACAATTATTATCATTGTATGCTGTCTATTTGTCACACACACACACACACACACGCACTGACACACACACTAGTTAACTGTGTGAAACTTTCAATGGAGACTGACACTGAAAATTCCTAAATAATAATTTCCGTCAATACCCATTCAAATAATCTGAACCACTGAAAAAACTGTTTCATACAAATAATGCCACTGAAAGTGCTCTATTAAAGAAATAAAACATAACATCAAATAAAAATGAAAAGCATAAAATACATAAAGCATGTAGAGGTACATGAGACAATAAAAGTTATTATAAGAATCAGCAGGTAAGATAAAAGATATTAAGTGATAAATTAACAAGAGTAGAGGGGTTTTTACAGGCAAAAGGATACTAAAATATTTCTATAAAAAAACTGAAATATTTACCATCATTTAAAAGTTCTGAGTTTTGTGATGTTGCTGATGATTAAGTTTAGGAGTCACAGCAGTCACACTCTTCTAGATGCCATTTCACTATTAGATTATACAGCACAATACATCACAATCAAACAATTAGAATTCATTAATCAAAAAACTAAAACTCCAAATTAAGCATATTTGAAATAGAGTTCACTCACCACCAGCCAAAACCAGCCACCACTGCAGCATCATCGTCCCTCTGAGACCCGGGCGGCCGAACAGGGAGGGTCCTGGGAATGTGATAGGAGTTTCCCACGTTTCCCAGCATCACTCCCACTGCCACACACCTGCGTGTGCTGAACTGTGGGTCAAACAACAGTCTGTGGGAATATTCTGCATTTACCATGATGGTCTCCTGTTGTTTAGATTTATTTTGCCATGGATTTCTGTTTAGATATGTGCTATACAAATAACATTATTATTAACTTGAATTAAGTTAATAATAATAATTACTAACTTTATAATAATTGTAAATTAATAAGGTTTGAGGATTTTTATTGTGATAGGAGCTACTTATTTCAGGAATGATATTAGAAAAAACAAGTTAAAATTAGGCGGTCAATCTCATAATTTTGGTTAACCAAGTAAAATCTAACTAAAGTGACAGTGAAGAGATACTAAATCAATGTTATCATTTAAATTACAGCTTTTTGAGCCATATTTATAAACATTACGTGAAAAGATTATGTTTAGTTAAAATTAAATTTCGTTTAAATATAATCAAAATCATTTAAACTTGTAAAACTAGCAAATAAAGTCTCATGTTTAACGATGAGTAAATCTTATGGCCACATTTGTGTTATTTTTCCTGGTGATGATAATTTGCTCTTCAATCCTCGAGTTTCCAAAACTAAAACTTTAACATCTAAAAAATAAAACGTGTTTTATTTTGTGCTTCACGTGGATTCAGTGATCCAGCTCAGCCCTGGAGGGCGGGGTTTATATCGACGCAGACTGATGCGTTTTCCTGACGCACAAAAAAAGCGCGTCCACTTTTCAATCAGATTAATTGAACCGGTACCTGCGTGTGGGCGGGGACAAAACTCAAAGTTAGCGCCAGTCTGCATCCGCCTGGAATAAAATGGTAAAGTGATTTATTTATACAAATGTTCCAGTGCAGAGATTTTAACTTCAGCTTGTTGACATGTGTCCTCAGGCTGGAGTCTTACCTGCTGTCTTTGTGGAGGACTCAGACAGTGATGGGACTTTTCATGGCTTCTCTGACTGTGAACTCAAGGTACGTTTGTTTTATGCGTCAGTCGAGGCCCTCGAGTCCCCAGATACAACAACAATGAGACTTGTATTCAAGTTAAATGGAAGTTTAGTGTAATGATAAAAGACAAAAATTGCTTCAATGCAACTGAGGGAGTTTGTCTTTTACCCTGTCTATGGTTTGTTTGATTGTTTGTTAGAAAGATTCTTCAATAAATGAAGGATGTATTATATGGGTCAGAGAAGAACCCACTAAATGTTAGTGTGCATACAGGAATTTGATGGAACATGAGATGGAACTTTCTTTTGTGACATTTCCCACGGAATAACTTATTTAAAAAGTGTCTGTGATTAATTGATCATGAATCTGTTGGGTCTTGTTGGAGGTATATATGCTCCACTGATGATCAGTCATGCTGTAAAAACTATACTAAACGTTAAGAGATGTGCCAACAGCCTAATCTGAGTAGACATGGGGCTGGACGACATGGCCAAAAATCATATCAACATAAAAACGCTCCTATCAGTCAAAATGATCACATTATTGTTTCTTTTTGTTTAAAGCTCCTGAGTGCAAGTTGTGTTTTTAAACTCTTCTTTATGAGCAGAGAATGACAACAGCGAAACAATTTACAAATCTGGGGTGGATCCATTATTTGTTACACCTCCTCACAATGAATATTGTGATATATACTGAACCTTTGTTGTATTGCTGTTGAAGAAAATGATATTGCAATAAGTAACAACCTCTATTTTTATCCTCCAGAATCTCAGCATTGAAGATGAAGCCCAGCTTAACCTTTCACCCGAGAAGCAGAAAGCCACATCTAAACCATCTGCCGGGGCCCAGGCCTTCAGGCTGAGGGTGGCCCTCCGCTCCACTCCCTCCACCCAGCAGTCCACGGAGGATGAGGAGGAGGTAGAAGAAGAGGAAGAAAAGAGGGGGAAGAAGAAGAGGGCAGGAAGAACCGGTCAGGCGTGGAAGAAGAGACATGTTAAATTTGAAGATGAGGAGACGGCAGTGGCTCGGCCGAAGAGTGAGGAGGCTGGATGTGATTCAGGAGAAGTGTCGAATGCTTTCCTGGCGAAGAGAGAGCAGAACATCAAGGCCAACAAAGCAATGGTGAACCAGAAACACAGAACTACATACAGTACTGCAGTATTTGGAAGATGTCACATTGATCTGACAGTGTATTTGTATTGTAATGAATACTCAGGTCTCCCATGACTACATTTCAGACTCATTGTACATTCATTACATTTCACCCCACATCTATTACTCATTCAGTCCTTTTTCTTGAGAACTTTTTTTCTTTCACTTTGAGTCAGGAACCTCGTGAATAAACAGATGAGTCATCTATAAGGGTTAGTGATTCATGACCTCACTTGCATTTTAACCTTTTGACATAGAATTACTCAACAATTACCCAACAATAGTTCCTGGCATCAGATAAACAGTCAGTCTGACAGCAGCCTGAGCAGACGGACAACCACCCATGAATATGTAAAGATTGCTGTGGAGAGTTCAGGAAGAGTTCAGGAAATTGTGATATTGGTGTCATGCAAAAATACTTTTAGTGTGAATGTTGTCCTTCTACAGTGACTCGTGTTGTTTGTCCTCTGCTGTGTCTTCAATGCTGGTGATGTCTTCTAACAGCTGGCTCAGCTGATGGCAGACCTGCAGAAAATGCCAGGAGCCGGAGGTTTTCTGACGAAACAAGCCGGCAAACAGAAGACAAAAGAGAGAAGCTCTGTGAGTAGAACCAGGTCAAATCCTTTTCTTTCTCTTCGTATTCAATGTACGCGTAGTTATTCTTATCTGACCTTACCTGCAGCGTCCACCGCGCTCTGGTGCAGCTGGACCGGAGTCCAGGAGGAACCCGGATCGGGCGTCCCGCAGACAGACCCGCTCAATGGGGGGGGCTGAGGATCCTTTAGCCCCTAAGGAGGAAGAAATTGAGCTCAGCTTGGAGGAGGAGCTGCTGGAGGTCAGTTCTGTCATTTATCAAGAATCAGGTACAAATCTTTTTTGGAGGATGAGGAACCCCTACTGCACATTGCGTCAAAGTTGAAACAGGTTCTTTTATGATAAAATAAATAAAAATTAAGTTTTATTTTTCACATGATCTTATTGCTCCATCTCGACTTGTGAACATTTAGGTTGCAAAATTGTGCAAATAACACTTAATCGCATTCTGCAGATTTGTGACTGTCCTGGGAACAACGGTATTCACAAAAACATGGGATGAGTAAAAACTGGGGTCTTTTATATTTGTATGTGTTGATTGTATCTTGTTAGTTTCTGTGTAAAACTTCAAGTTAAACAAAAAAAACATAATTATTTGTTCCAGGTACGCCGAGCACCACAGCGGCGTGGCGCCCCGCGGCCCAACCAGTCCAAACCTCATCTCGTCCGTCCTGTGGAGGACATCACAGAGGATGAGCTCCTGCTGGTCGCAGACAACATGACCGAGAAAGTTTACAACAGCGTCTCAGTGAGTTCACACTCTCCCTGCAGCGTGATATGTTGTAGTGATACAATATATTGGCATCTGTTCACTTAAGGTTAAGGTAAGTCCCTGTGGCAGCTGCTAGGTGGCACTCTCTCCCTTACTGAAGCCAAACAGTCCTGTTCCTCTATTTAGAGGAGGATGAGTCTGTAGCAGCGCCTGTCAACCACTTCTGTCGTCAATGACTCTCTTTGTATTTTCAGGGCTCCACGTGTCATCAGTGCCGTCAGAAAACTATTGACACCAAGACGTGTTGTCGTAATGACGGCTGTCGGGGGATCCAGGGTCAGTTCTGTGGGCCGTGCCTGAGGAACAGATATGGAGAGGACGTCAAGAAGGCGCTGCTGGATCCGGTCAGGCTGCTCACACACCAGCACTCACGCTACACATGTGCATGTGTCATTGTTTTTATATTTACAGTTAACACCTGTTAGGATTTTCTCAGTTCATTAACAAAGCGACGTGGAGAGATTTTAGGGGCCCAGGTTCCAGATGGTTTTTATATCAAGGTCAGATGTGATCACTTACAATAAAGTCTAATCTCAGTACACTTCCTCTTTTCATTCACTTTGAAACGTCTCAGGGGATCATTAAACTGTTTATCCAAAGTTATTAAGCAAATGAAGTTACCAAATTCAGTTTTATTAAAAACTTCATTAACGTATGTCGTAAATATCTTATCATACCATCTGTTGGCAGAAATAAAATTGTTTACTTTGGCTCTGGAGACAGAAGCGAGGAAGCTCACAAACCTTTCAGTTATAAAATATTGCTTGATTTTTAATTGGTAAATCACTCTGCCTCTCATTTGAGTGAATGAATGATGACACAAACTCTCTGAGCATATACAAGTACAAGTCCTCTTCACCAATCCTATACAGGAAACCCTTCGTCAAGGTTCATTAATGCCACCATCTTTCTGGAGGTACTACCAAACTGAAAGTTGTCTTTTATGGTCACTGTGCAACTCCTTGTGGTCATTGTGTCTCTTTGAGTCAGTTTTGTATTTGATGACTTTTTAAATGAGCTTTTTAACTTTCCCTCCATCCAGAGTCAGTAATCTATCTAACCAATGTGAAAAAAGTGTAGAAAGACCTTTTTTTTCTGTATTGATTTGAACGATTTGGTCTTTTTTCTCCAGGAGTGGAAGTGCCCCCCCTGTCGAGGCATTTGCAACTGCAGCTTCTGCCGTCAGCGTGACGGTCGCTGTCCAACAGGCATCCTGTTCCCACTCGCTCAATATCACGGCTTCTCTGACGTCCACTCCTACCTCAGCAGGTAGAGTCCCGCACGACTTTAATTGATCATTTAAGGTGTTCAGATTGCAGCAGGAATATAGAATCCAAATCCTTGCTATTTAAAATACAGTATATGTCTAGGTGTAATAAAGTTGGACCACTTTGTCCTTGCAGAAGGGACAAACTCTCATTCACTCCTGGGATTTGAATTTTTGAATGTGCTGTATCAAAAGCCTGGTTATAACTGAAGGTTTAAAACCTGGCAAAACATCTGACTGACATTTGTTATTTCTCTCCTTACAGCCTCCGCAACAAGCTGAAGAGTGAGGATGACGACGTAGAGACGTGATCCCAACACAACAAAACTGTTCCAATTGTTTTTATCTCTGCGTTAAGTTTTGAGTCTTTGTCCAAGTTCTAGCAAAACAAAGACAACACTTGATTTTAAATGAATAAAGTATATTTTGGTAAACTGACTGCCAACTGGTCTCAGTCTGACAAATGACATAGAAATGAATCAAAATAAATTCATAGTTTTAATCCAGCAGGCATTTGCAGTAGTTGTATACACACAATATAAAATCCCTTATTTAAAACGGGGCAACAAAAGAAGTAAGAGCACTTGTCTGATGAACATAGTTGATTTCAAGGGATAGTTTTAAACAGTCTAGAAAAGTTACACATTTGTTAAGTCAAATCAAGCAGAATCTTGAAGCAAGAAATGGAAAAGATGATGCAACCAATTGGTCAACTTAATATATTTTGCAACTTATTTATTTGAACAACAACAAAAGGGATGTGTGTCCGAGGTTTGCCTCAAGCTGGATCTTTTCCAGTTCCACAACTTCAACATGCATACCAAGAGTAAAAATTATTAGAACGTTTGTGGACTAAAGAAAGATTTCCTAGTTTTTCCTTTTATAAAACGCATATGAACCTTTGGTTTTGAGCTTAACAATGTTTATGCTGTCTGGACATAACTACCAAATAATTAACTATGACCAGAAATCCCTAAACAAGAAATGGTTATTCACAGAAAGGAAAACAAACTGACGTGTCAGATGATGAGTAGACCACAGAAAAAAAGAGAACTGGGAAGATCTGGACTGTATAGAACACATCATTCTATGACAGAAAGGCTCTCAAGTTTACACATTTCATCTACACAAATATATATATATAAAAGTAATAACATAAGATTAAGATTGATTGTGCATGAGGTTCATACAACTGAAAGGCATTCTCTTGCAATCATGTAAGATGATCCCACCTATGCTAATGAGTTCTGCAGCCTTTATATTACCAAAAACAAAAAAATTATATATTTATATATATGTACACATAAAAAAAATCCAAATGTTTTTGCAATGATAAACATATCAAAGCATGATGGCTTAAATTTGTGTACCTACACAAGAGGTTTAAGAGTTACTCAGGATTTCAGTGCCCTGACACATCCACATCCTCACACTCATTAGTGCTTCTGGCTCTGACCTGGTCCTGACCACGTGTTCCCATCTTCTTCTCAACAATCCACCCTAAAACACTTGGCATATTATTCCTATGGTACTGGGGTGGCTGGTTTGTGAACACATCCAGCTCTCCCAAAAAACAGAAGTCCGACAGGCAAATATTCGCTGCTCTAGATCATTAAAACTTCTGTTTTAAGGGGAAGGGAAACATTAAGCATTATGGGCTGATTAGGGACAATCTGCCTGAGGTGTAGCAGCTCAGTTTGAGAGCGCAGTAAACACCTGAAGAGAGACAAGTGGTGAATCTCACAGCCCAGGACACAAGTGTGAGGGTGTGGCTTGTTTTATTCCAATCCCACGATCGAGTTGGATTGGGTCTTTGCAGGGGACAAATGTTAGTGTAGTGCTAACATTTCAATTCATCTCATCAACCTCTGACCCTTAAATGCGACAGGTATCTAACCACATGATGGAAATACGTATTCCTGCCTCAGTTTTTAAATAGTGTCTGTTGTGTTGCATCTGAAGCCTTTGAAAGGATTTGCATGAACAGTCAGATGTGCCCTTTTCAACCCCAAGTGTCTGAAAGCATCATCATTGAGGCCATCGTCCTGCTCCCCCACCGTGATTAGAAGCTGTTGCCATTAATCTGGTGGAGGTCCACCTGCATCATGTTGATCCCGCTGCTGGCCAACCGAGCTATGCTCTCCGCAGATAAGGTTTCCATGGTGACAATGGTGTGCTGGTCATTTGCCGACACTGCTCCGGTGCCAGCTTCTGTTCCCGCTGCAGGGGAAGCGGCGTCTGCCGAGACCGAGGTGTTGCTGGTGGTGGCGACGACTGCTTTCTTGTTCAGATGGGTCTTGATGTGCTTTGAGAGGTGATCGCTGCGCATGAAGCGTTTGGGACACTCCGTGCAAACAAACTTTTTCTCACCTGAAAAGGAGCGAATAACAAAAGTCAGTTGTAAAAATAAGTTCTGTGCTCACATTGTAGCTTAGAGGCAACCTCACTGCATGTCTAGATAACATTACATTTAACTCTGGTAGCAACACACTCTATATGGAACATCACGTTAACCCTGCAATTACCTACTAGAGTCGACACAACAAAATGCCTAAAGCTAAATGGTTAAAAGTGTGGCTTTATTTCACGTGAAACTATCCTCACACGGGAACACATTAAAGAGACAAACTCAACAAATTTAATGGAGCACCTGGCGACACAAGGGATGTTTGACTGTTTGCATGACCCCACGCTGAGCACATCAGTCAGCAATGTGGGCCCTGGCCCCGGCAGTGGGGAAACAACTTATAACGAGTTTGGAACTGAGAGTATTAAGCACTGAAACTGTTATGTAGTTTAATTATAGTAGTTGGGTTACGTTTTGTTTATTGTGTGAATTTGTCATGTAAATTTGTGAAGAGTTTTGCACTTATTTATATTTGTGTATTTAAAATTTGTGTAGTTTATACAGTTTTAACCTACAATTTCACTGAACAATAAAAAAGCTGTTCTTATCGTTATTTTGAAAAAATAAATATTGGTTCCGTCACTGTTTACGCACCTGTAACCTGTTAATAGGTTCAGTGTGTAAGATTTAGGTGAAAGGGATATATTGGCAGAAACTGAATATAAAATAATTCTTGAGATGTTGTCACTAGTGTATAATCATCTAAATTGTATGAATTGTTGTTTTCTTTACCTTAGAATGGGCCCTTTATATTTAAATACTTTATATTTACATCAGGAGGCTGTCTTGAAATGGAAGATGAGGTGAGGGGTATTCAGCTGCAACGTGCAACTCCACCACTAGATGTCACTACATTCTATACACTTGTTCAGTTGCAGCCACACCAGAAATATCTAAAAACACATTAAAACTAAATCCTCATCGTACCCGTGTGCGTTCTCTTGTGACGCTGAAGCTCATCTGAACGTGTGAAACGTTTGCCGCAGAAAGACCAGCTGCAGACGAATGGACGTTCTCCTGTGTGCCAGCGGAGGTGGGCCCTCAGATGGGACGTCTTGCCGTAGATCTTCCCGCAGCCACTGATGTGACAAATGTGCTGCTTCTTTTTAGTTGGGTCGCTGCTTGGTGTAAAATCATACATCAAAGTTAGAGACTGTCACCTTTCTCTATAATGAAGCCAAGTGCAATCAAATAAGGTGAAATGAAAATGCTGTATTTTTCTGGTAAATAATATCAAATGGAAAATCTTTTTGAAATCATTTTAAAAAGTAAGGCTTTATTTTTGTATCTCTAAAACTAATTTTCTTTCAAGTATTGAAAGTAATAAGAAAGCAAATGACACTTATTAATAATATGGTTGTGTGACATACCGTCCTTCTCCATCCTTGCAGAAGGGGCAGGTACAGGCTTCTCTTCTGTTACGTCTTCCTTGAGGTGGCGGGCTTATATCCTCATCATCCATAGCTGTGCTATCATCCAAACTGTCTCCACCTGCCTGTAACGCCTGTTCTCCTACAGTGATGGGAATATCAAGGTGCAAGATAATTATCACAATGGTCTGAGAATATTTAAGCATTATACATGTTTTATTTATAATGTTCAAAACACAATCCATCTAGTGTTCCGCAAGGAAAATCCAGACCTCAGCTTGCTTGTATTTAAGAACCTATTTAAATGTGAAAACACTCAAATGCTTAATAAACCTTCAATTAGTGGCCGTTTATTAGCAGAACTAGCAAAACTAAACATTTCCTAGCCTCAACTGTACATTGCCTGGAGTTTGCAACTTAAGGATCTTGGCCACTAAGTTATTTCTGGTAACTTATTACTTTCAAACTCATTATTGGGTATTAATATATTTTTTCAACATTGCTCAAGAGTAAACTGAACAATACTCCAAGGTGTTCATAAAGGATATGAAACTAAATACAAAATAATTAAAAACATAACATTAAAAAACAAGATTTGACTAGCACCATAACTACTGGGAAGATGTACTGTTTGAATGTTAGTAATGCATGAATATGCAGTCCAATTTCAAATAGCCTGAGCCCTCAGGACTTAAAATACTGTGCTTGAGTAAATGTCAGTTTGTGAGCAGTTAGTAAAACTTCAGCCCAACCAAAGCTAGATACATACATCATTTAATAGTAAGGATACAAGACCAAATTATTCCTAGTAAAAAATTTAATTTCACAAAAACTTTGACTAGAAATGTGATGGAAATGAAATTAAGACGGGTTTGGACAGGATACAGGCGCCTAAAAGACAAGGGAGGGGGGTTGGCTTTACTTTACTCAGAACTGTATTGTGACCAACATCTGAAGAGAGATTCAAACATGAACACATGCAGTGCAATGAAACATTTAGGGAAAGTCCAGACCAGCTGAACTGGTTGAACCAGTATCTTGAACACAAATAGTTCACACAAAGAGCAAGAGAGATCCAAACCAGAGATTCAAGATAGCTTGAATTTCAGAAGAAAATGTCTGGGGAAAATACACCTCAAGGGAAGACTACTTAATATATTTATTCAGCCCAACTGCCTGACTGCCACATCAGTCTACTGCAGTACACACTGTGTACTACAATAGATGAACCAAACCCTCTCATCTAAACTGAGAAAAACTGACCACAATTTAAGATTGATCTGTTATATTGATCAAAGCCAAAATAATTTCTAAAAAAAGAACAATAAAGCAGAAAGTCAGATAACATGTAAACCACACACAAGGCAACTGGTTTCCTTTGACGCCTAACCCTGACTGTACTACTGTATATGAATGACACTATATTGTAAAATAGCTGACTTCTCTAAATATTATGCAAACATTTTGAAGATATTAAATATAATATAAGTTTAATTTTTTTTTTTACACCAAATATAAATAATTTCTGGTTGACTGACCTGCTGTGCTGGCGATGGTGATGGGAACACCCTGCAGCTGGTGCATCTGCAGCCCAGAGCCGGCGAGTGTGTTGAGATTTATGGTCTGGATGCCTGGGATCTGCACTGTGTTGACGGACACTCCTCCAGCTGCACCAGCTGCCTGAGTGTGACCAAGTTGAGGGAGAGACTGCATTGGAGCCAGTGTGATCTGCGCTCCTGCCGGACTCTGGATCTGAATGGTCTGCCAGCTCACCTGGCCGTTTGGGCCCACGGTGCGCAGGAGGATGGGGCCTGTGTTTGGCATAATTTGAAGATTTTGAAGCCCTTCTTGGCTGAGCGTTGGAGCCGCAAATACCTGACCGCCTGCTGTCGTGATAGCACCAGCCTGGATGGTCTGGAGGGGGGTTCCACCTTGGATAAGATGCTGAGGCTGGAGAAGGATCTGCTGAGGCTGCTGCCCATCTCTGTTGTCTGGTTGTATCGGGACACCCAGAGAAGATGCCGTGTTATGCTGGTACGTCCCTGTCACTGCTCCATTGCTGTTCTGTGTTTGAGTCATTCCATAAGACGAGGTGACAGTAGGTGCACTTGTCATGTAACTGGCACCACTGTTGGAAGACACAGGCTGTTGCGACTGCTGTTGTATAAGCTGGCTTCCCCCTGTATCCCCCCCACCATTAGCATCTACCCCTGTACCACTCGCTCCAGTACTGACAGGTAACAAAGTGATGTTTCCATTCAGTGACACAGGCATATTTGCCAGAAACTGGGGCTGGTTTTGTAACACGCCATTACCTAAGCTAATATTTTGTATGGGGATGGCTCCCTGTAGGAGGCTGGGCATTGTTATAATGTTTCCTGCTGCACCAGCTCTGTTGGATGTGGTTATGATCTGCTGGCCATTGGGAGAGGACACTATCTGAAACTGTTGCCCATGTCCAGCTGCAGCAGATACTGCTGAGTCCTGCTGAGTGTGTGCGAACTGCAGGGCCTGGCCATCTGCAGTCTGAAACTGGGGAATAACTTGGTACTGGATGTTGGGCATCATACCAGATATGGTGGTGAGCACCTGCTGACCCTGCATTGATGGAGCCTGCGCAAGTACATATTGCTGTGGCTGCTGCTGCTGCTGTCCCTGAGTGCTTACAGCAGCCACTGATGGCGACAGCACCTGTCTGCTCTTACAATCTGTCATAACTACTGAAGTGTCAGTGACCGTGTTGGTGCCTGAGGATGCTTGCACGCTGAGAGGGACAACCTGCCAGCCGTTGGCACCGGAGGTGAAAACACCCTGGTTTAGGTCCAGCTGTTGCTGCTGGTTCTGTTGTTGCTGGTCTGTGGGCGAATCATTCTCTCCTGGGGTGTCAATTCGACTGCATGTGGCTGCCAACAAGGCCAGAGGAGATGGTTGCTGTGAGTCCTAGAAAATAAATGAAAAGAAAAGAGAAGTTAAAAAAAGAGTTAAAAAAATTAAAATACAATGTTCCTTTACTTCAGGTGATTAGGCTGAAAAAAAACAACCCCCTAAAAATGTATTTGTGATTGAAATGTGATTTCTGCAGTGGAGATATATATATATATGCCATGTTCTTTCTACCAGACTCCACCCCTAGCCTGAGTGTTGTGGACATTTCCTTGTTGTTGTGAATGTGTCTGACCCAGATAATCTCCTGCTGTGGACTTCACATGTGAAAGGCAAACTCTGGAGGAAGTCCAAACCCAATTTTCGATAGATTTTCAATTTTTTGGAAACAGCTCATTATACATGTTAATGTTGTAGTTGGGACCAAACGTATGTTAAATAATTCACTCATATTCTAGTTTACACTTACCAAAGTGGTTCAAAACTGTTTACTAAAGAATGTAAAGATACTTATATAGACATGTTAACTTTTACCTATGAAATATGTAAACTTAAAAAATGTTTTACAACAAACTGCTCAATAAAATGTGACTTGGATAAATCAGGTCAGATAATCATGGAATTTATGAAACAATTAAAAGCAAGGACATTGTTACACTAACATAGACATGAATGAACCTGCAGCTGATGAAACTAGGAGAAGACTAACAAGGGATTTTAAGAATTAATTTGTTTTGAGTTGAGATGTCCTGAAAAAATTAGCCCAGGACATATTACAATAATTTGGAAAAATTGCAAGCCATGTTGAGAGTGTGTTATAATACAAAGCTCCCGAATCCTATTAGTAATAATGTTATTAATAACAACAAAGCCTGTATTTCCATCAGGAGCTTCATTCACAGTAAGAGGGGCCGGAGCGTGGAGTCCAGGGGGCGGCCGGGTGGGAGAGTATGGGAGGGAGGGATCACATTTTTCCCGGAGCAGCGGCGGGCTCGGCTTCCCCTCCCCCCTAACCCACCCATCTCCCTCCCACACTTTATTTTGCCCTATAAACTGACACACTCCTCTAGCCACCCCCTCCACAGCCAGCCAAATGGGCCGAGCGAGCCGCACACTTCGTGCCGGGGTTTGACGGGAACACCCCGTGTGGGCGAAATTTACCTGCCCATTCCCCACCCCGGTGACATGTGCTCCGGCGAGAAAAATCAACAACCCCATCCCATCACACAGAGCCAATCGAACGGCATTAAATGGCAGGTTCAGTGAGTGTGACTGCGGAGGATAACAACATGGATCATCTGATTTGGCAATAAAAACAACAAAACGAGAGCAGGGAACCTACTTGAGAGTTTGTGTTTCGCTTTTGACTGAAGCCTCCACCGCTCCCCACAGCGGCCATTTCCCCCTGCTGCTGATCTGCGGAAGAAGAGTTTGTAAGATCAGTTCTCAGAGAAGTGAATCTGGAGTAACAGACCGTGACACCGAGTTAATGTTGCATCAAGGAGGGGACCCCCCCTCCCGCAGTACAAGCATGGTGAACATAAGCCTCGGTGGAATAACCAAACTTCCTTGTAGTTAACGCGAAGAAGCCCCGCAAGGAAATCCATGCCACAAGTGCTCGAAGGGCCAGCTAGCCTGTTAGCTAAGCTAGCGTGAAGTCACCACAACAAGTAGCACTGGAGAAAAGTGCTAAGTACTAGCTAAAGAGTTTCACCTGCGCCATTAAATGCAACCAGTTAGCTAGCTGAGGGAAATGAGACGGAGTTAAAGTGAGGTGTAAACAGGCTGTGTCACCTCCGGGCAGAAGTTAGAGTTAATGTTAGCCTGCTCCCCTCGGTTGGCTAAATGTTGTTAGCTAAGAACCGACAATTAGCAGTTAAGTAGCTGGTACTTTAAAACTGCTTCGGACGCTAGCTAGAAAACGTGAAAACGTCGTATTCACGACAGTGGGAGAAAGTTAATGCGCTAAACTTTGATTTGACCTCGAAGAGTAAAGTTCTGGTTTAGTTCGCAGCGCGGCGCCGACTTTAAAAAGTTCACTTACTGCTCATAATTTGAAGACGGGAGGAGTTTCTCTGCGCTTTTCTCGGTTGACAACTTTTCGCGACTTCACACTAACTTGACTGACCGCCCGCTATGAAGGAGACAAACACGGGGCGTGCGATTTATGCACCCGCGCAGCCCGCCAACTCCGCTCCGCACGAACCTGTGTTTTTCATTGCAATAACACTGTAAACGTAGATATCATAAGATTTACAGATTTAATATTCAATCACCCGTTAAGTTTCAACCACAGAGGATATTCCTCACCAACAAGTTTGACATTGTAATTGTTTATAATGTCACTTTGTAAGGATGCAGTGAATCAGGTCATGAGTGAAACATAAAATGACTTGCTTTACATTCACACTAAAGAGAATCAAACTAAATCCATTTGGCTTCGATTCAACATTTCTAAACTAGTCACGTTGAAGTTAATAAAAGAAAAAAACAGAATGTGTCAGACTCAAGAGTTCGAGACGGTGTTATCAACACAAACTATTCTATCAAAGTAGATTGTAAATAAATCAAAGCTGGCATTTCATTTATTAGAATGAATTGATTATAATGATTTCCCCAAATGTCATGTTTTGTCCAACAGTCAGAAACAATCGTTTTATATTGTCGTAATAGTTAAAAATTGTTTTTTATCATGTTAATGTTTAGACTTCAACACATTTTGCAAGTCAAACTCCAACAGGTAGATCAGTTAAAAAGGCTTAAACCATATTACATTCAATTTTATTAGACTATTAAAAGAAGGCACATTATTGCATTTGAACTCATCATGAAATAACTTTTGGCGCCTTGTGACTGTGACTCCGCACCGTCACCGTTGATAAAACGAACGCACCCCTCTGGGAGCCACTTGTGACGGATTGCTGCTCTCCTCCAATAGAAAAGGCTGTTTCTGCCGACGAATATCTACCAGCCAATGTGATTGGGCCAAAGGCGCTGAGTGGGGCGGCACTAAGCACGGTAGGTTGTGTCTCTGAGTATGATTGACGTTGGGTTATCTGTTTTCCGCCTTTAAGACGCCATGTGTCCCCGTGTCCACATTAACAGCGATCGTAGCCCTCGATCCGTCTGTGGTGTCGTCTCATCCTCCGGCAGTGACACGATCCACAGGCTCGATTCCCGCTCGGCTCCCGGGGCCGAGGCAGGAGGAAGGCGTGCGGAGCGTTCAAGTCTTGCCTCCGTGGCCAGTGGCCACTCCCTGGTGGCGCCCTGTGGGTTGGGAAACAGCGAGGAGGCGGGAGGAGTGAGCCCGGGTGGAGGAGCAGGGACCCCATCACCCTCACACACTGGCTGCGGCCGCGCTGGGAGGAGAAAATGTCTCTCATGTGGGAGGGCTCCCGATCATCGGGACGTGTTAGGGGGCTGTCAGTGGAGCAGCACATGTGTCCATGTAAACAGGACGGAGGGTGGAGTCCATCCATCCCCCCCAGGCCTGCATCCACCCAACTGTGTGTGTGTGTGTGAGTGAGTGTGTGTGTGTGTGTGTGTCATCAGTGACATAGGAGTGTTAAATCTGTGTGTGCTCCACCTACATCTCATGTCTCACTCCTGCACAGTCAGGACCAACAGTGAGAAGATTCATTACACAGGGCTCTGATCTCAGTGTAGTTTGTGTACTAACACACATTTATTTATATTCTGTATATGTGACCCCTCTTTTTATTTGGCTTATCGGATTCAAAGGTCTAATGACATAAGGATTGTAATAAATGCAGTTTGTCAACATCCTTTAAGCACAGGGCACTTTTGTACTTTGTAATATTGGGCTTTATAAGTAAAAATTGACAAAGTAAAAGTTACAAAAATGGCTATGTAATATTAATGTAATCAAAAGTATAATACCTTATAATCAAAGTCAAACAAACAGCAGGCCTCATCAGGAAGGCTAGCCCTGCTCTTTTCTTTCTTTTTTAATCCAAATTCATATATATAACAAACAATAAGGAATATAATGAATCCTGATGACATCAACACAATATTTAAAAGACTGAGCCATTGGCAACAACAAACACAAACACACACA